GCGTCAGCAAGCCCCAGGCTCCTCGGCCAGGCAGCGCCTTCCCCAGCACGCACCCTGCCTCCCGCTGTCGTTCCTCTGCCCAGGTGACGCGGACGTGTCCCCTGTGAGCTGCGTCCCCGTAGCGCGAGCGGCCGCCCTGAGGCAACCGTAGCAAACCAAGGCCCCAGAAACCGGGCGCTGCAGAACAGCGTGTGCAGGGCGCGCTGGCAGGGGGTTGAAGCGCAGGTCAGATGCAGGTGAACGGAAAACTGTTTGCTCTCTGGTCAGGGGCGGAAACAAGGCTCTGCTCTGAGGGCAGGGTTGTGAAAAAGCTGGGCTTCCAGACAGCTTGGTTGTCTGGACGCTCTTACGTCCCGGGGCAGCTTTCCGGAGCAGTCCCAGCAGGTCGGGGGTGCCGACGCTGCCGGGGGGCCTGTGCGGAGGCGGCCGCTGCTGCTGGGGCTCCGCGGTGGCTCTGCGTAGTGTCAGGAGGGCTGGAAGGCTCCGCGCTGCCAGTGGGAACGCTGCCTTGGCAGCCGGGCACCGGTGAGTCTTGCTGCGTCACAGCAGCTTCTGGACAGCGATGGAGCAGGGCAGGCGGAACGGGGAAGAAAAGGGTTGTTTGGAAGGATGGAGGTGGTCAAACCTGGGAGACTCGTTCTCAGTCGTGGCTGAGCACAGACTGGGAAGGACGTGGGAGAAATCCTTCCTGGCTTGCTGGGAAAGAAACAGTGCGAAACTTCCATTAAAGTCCTCCCTGTGCACGCTGCTGTGCCCCCCAGCACCGAAACAGAGTGCTCGGCCCTGGGAAGCAGAAAGTGCCCGCGGGTGTTTCGAAGGTGTAGCTGGAAGACGTAACGCAGACCCCGGTCCCGAGCCAAGCGCTGTCCTCCATTGCCCCGCAGAGCTCTGAGCTCTGCAGACCCGCTCTGAAACGGGGCGTGCTGTGCCGCAGGGGGATCGGACGGCTCGAGGCTGTACGACTGCGTCTGGAGGTACAACTCCAGCGTCAACGAGTGGACGGAGGTGTCCCCCATGCTGAAAGCCAGAGAGTACCACAGCTCCACGGTGCTGGACGGGCTGCTGTACGTGATCGCCTCCGACAGCACGGAGCGCTACGACCACTCGCTGGACAGCTGGGAGGCCCTGCAGCCCATGCTCTACCCCATGGACAACTGCTCCACCACCGCCTGCCGGGGCAAGCTCTTCGCCATAGGCTCCCTGGCAGGCAAGGAGTCCATGGTCATGCAGTGCTACGACCCCGACAGCGACCTGTGGTCCCTGGTGAACTGTGGCCACCTGCCTCCCTGGTCCTTCGCCCCGAAGACCGTCACCCTCAACGGCCTCATGTACTTCGTCAGGTGAGCAGCAGGAGCACGTCCAGCGTTCCCCGGGAGGGCGTGCGGATTTTCGGGTGGTTGTAGGAGAGCGCCGCGCCGGGAGGGCGCAGCGGTGCTGCCGCTGCGGGGGGGGCTGCGAACCGCCACCACGCCGTGCTTCGATTTTTGCAAAGCCAACCCCGGGAGGGCGTGCGGATTTTCGGGTGGTTGTAGGAGAGCGCCGCGCCGGGAGGGCGCAGCGGTGCTGCCGCTGCGGGGGGGGCTGCGAACCGCCACGCTGCTGTGCTTCGCTTCTGTCACAGCGAAGCCGCTGAAGAGCTACGCTCCAAATTGTGCTAAGCTGTCTGAATCTCAGCCGGCGGGCTGGGCAGCTGCCAGGCAAAAGTCTGGCTGAAGCCAGCAGCGCTGCTTGGAAATAGATGTCTTGGTTTGGCTTCTGGTTCAGCCCCCCGGGTTGCTATAAATAAGCCAGTAAGCTCCAAGAAGACGTTAAACTGTAGCGCAGGAGAGGACACCCTCCGTCTCAGCAGAGATAAGGGGACTGAAGATGGAGTGATTGGTCGCTATTTTTAAGCACCTTTCCAAATTGGGACTTAATTACCCATCCGAAGCTGTCCTGGTGGCGCAGGCACTTCAGTTATCCACTCAATTAAAAATAAACTGAAAGGCGTGCTGGGACTGCAGCATTTCGTCTTGTTGTGTTGACTCTGAGCAAACATAGACTTCTCTGACAGCCTCCAGACACTTCTTTTTTCCATCTCCTCTTGGCTCTGCATGGAGTAGCAGCTTCTGCCCCGGACCTTTTAGTTGGTTCATGTGAGTTCAGCCCCGCGTCTGGGTCGCTGGCAGTTGTTTGCGGGTGGCAGTCTGAGTCAGCGGGTTTCCAGTAAACACTGGCGGGGTGCTCTGGCCGTTAGGCTCCTTGACACAAGCCGATCCTACGGGTTCTCCTTTTTCTTACCCTTTTTAAAATGCTGATGATCGACGCTTCAGTATTTCTGATGACTTACGCAGGAGTTAATGAGGAGATTACTGGGGTCAGGTTTTTATCCCCTCATTTCACGTGCTGCACGTGGGCTGCTGCTCTGTGTAAAGCTGTGAGATCATCTTTGGAGGACAGCGGAGTAGGTTACGAATAAAAGTCGGTTAGTGTCAAATAGCTCAGAGTAACGCTTCTGACTGACGGTCCCCTCCATGGGGCGAGTTTTATCGCTGTCGACAGGGCACAGCAGCGGGGCCGAGGTGGGTCTGCGGCTGCGTCCTGCTTGGAGCTCGCCCTGAGCCGGGGCAGCAGGTCCTGG